TTTTTTTTTCTTTTTTGTTTTCTTTTTTTGTAATTATTAAATTACAACAGATAAAGTCTAAATGTTAAAAAAAATTAATTATATTTTTAAATTTTTATATAAAAAATTAAAGATTTCATTTAAAATGGCTAATAATTGCAGCAATAAATTTTGGTTAAATAACAAATAACTTTTAATTTTAAAAATTAAAGATTCTTTTATTTTTTTTATTATTTTTTAGTTAAAATTTTTTTTTTAAAATTTGCATAAATCTGTTATATATATATATATATTCATGTTATATTTATTGTATGTATAATTGAAATTATTTATTATAATTTCTCTTAGGTTCTTGGACAAACTCAAGATCATCGACATCGTGTTTTAGTAGCTGCTGCAAAAAATATTAAAAATTGGTTTGTGAAAGTTCGCAAAATCAAAGCAATTTATCATACTTTAAATTTATTTAATTTGGATGTTACACAAAAATGTTTAATTGCTGAATGTTGGGTTCCTGTATTAGATATTGAAATAATACAATTAGCATTACGTCGTGGAACTGTAATTATATATTTTAATTATTCTTATTTAATTGTCTTTAGTTAAAAATTTCAAAATTATATATATTTTAGGAACGTAGTGGAAGCTCTGTGCCACCAATTTTAAACCGTATGGTAACTTTTGAAGATCCACCTACTTATAATCGGACCAATAAATTTACTAAAGGTTTTCAAGCTTTAATAGATGCATATGGAGTTGCTTCCTACAGAGAAATGAATCCATCTCCTTATACCATAATAACATTTCCATTTTTATTTGCCGTTATGTTTGGAGATACTGGTCATGGTCTTCTTATGTTCCTTTTTGGTGGATGGATGGTATTAAAAGAAAAACCATTGGCTGCAAAGAAATCTGATAACGAAATTTGGAATATCTTCTTTGGTGGTCGATATATTATTTTTCTAATGGGTTTATTTTCAATGTATACTGGACTTATATATAATGATATATTTTCCAAATCATTAAATATTTTTGGATCATATTGGAGAATCAGTTATAATTTCTCTACAATAGATTCAAATAAGGAGTTGCAATTAAATCCTAGTGATAAAGAACAATATTTACAAATTCCATATCCTATTGGAATGGATCCTGTGTGGCAATTAGCAGAAAATAAAATCATTTTTTTAAATTCATATAAGATGAAAATATCTATAATTTTTGGAGTCATACACATGTTGTTTGGTGTGGTGATTGGATTATGGAATCATATGTATTTTAAAAGAAAACTTAACATAACTTGTGAATTCATTCCTCAAATTATTTTTCTAGTATTTCTTTTCCTTTACATGGTACTACTTATGTTTATTAAATGGATAAAATATGGCCCTGATAGCGATAGTAAGTAAAATATTATTATTATTATTATTAACATAATTATTATTATTATTATTATAATATAATATATGGCATTTATTTCAATTTTTAGAAAGAAAGGATATACATATTGTAATACAATAATATTTATAATATTATTTATAGAAATAGATCCAGAACATGGTCCTTCTTGTGCACCATCAGTATTAATTACATTTATTAATATGGTATTATTTAAACCTGGAACTGCACCAAAGCCTTGTTCACCTTGGATGTATGGTGGACAAAGTGGATTCCAATCATTTCTAGTAGTTATAGCTGTTCTTTGCATTCCTTGGATGTTATTGGCAAAACCTATTATGCTAATGAAGAATAGAAAAAAGCAACATTATCAGGTTAAATTTTAAATTTAATATATATATTTTATTATGTATATTATATATATACATAAAAATATGAATCGAAACTATAATTTATATAAAGAAATGCATTTATAATTAACTTGTTTAAAATTATTAGGAATATGCAAAAATATTACAATAATATAAATTATCTAATAATATAGAATTATCTATTTTTATATATTTTCAGAATTATTAATTCTTTTTTAAGTAAAATTTTATAATTAATATACAAATTGTTATCTGTTATCTTTTACAAAAAATTTTTAGTAATTTTATCTGATTCATTGTGTAAATATATATGTGATTCATGTAAATCTTCAATTATCACAATTACATATAGCGAGTTATTTTAAAAAATAAATTATTTATTGTTAATATATATTATAATATAAATATATTATATATTTATAATATAAAATACATTGAAAAAAATATATCATACATAAAATTTGCTGAAAACAAAAATAATTATCTTTTATTAACAAATATTTATTTGTTTGCTTAAAAAAGTTGGAAATATTAGATTTAATTTCGTATTATATTTCATGATTTAATAGTTTAATTGAAAATATTCTTCATTTTTTTTATATGTTTTCTTATTTTAAAATGCTTTTTTATATTTTGAAAATTAAAAATTAATAGCATTACAATCTTGAATATATTTTTTTTATTATTATATTAGTTAAACAATCATGGTACAGAAAATGGAGATGTAGAAGGTGCTGTTGATGCAATACAACCAGCAAATGGAATTCCTCAAGGAGGAGGTCACAAAGAAGAAGAGGAAGATATGGCTGAAGTATTTATTCATCAAGGCATACATACTATTGAATATGTTCTTGGCAGTGTATCTCATACTGCATCTTATCTGCGTTTATGGGCCTTATCTCTTGCCCATGCTCGTAAGTTTAAAAATTAATGTGTTTATATAATTATATAATTATTAATATTTTATATAATTATTAGTAGTTTACATAATTATATAATTATATATATAATATTAATTATATATAAATTACATAATTATATATAAATTATAATAAATATATTTTATTGAATATTATTGATTACATTAGAATTATCAGAAGTATTATGGAATATGGTTATGAGAAATGGGTTAACTCAAGAAGGCTGGGCAGGTGGTATTATTCTATGGGCTGTGTTTGCATTTTGGGCTGTTTTAACAGTTGGTATTCTAGTTCTTATGGAAGGTTTATCAGCTTTCTTACATACACTTAGACTTCATTGGTATGTTGAAAAATTATTTTGCTTTAAACAATTTCATAACGTATTAAAATTTAATTAAAAAAAATAAATTTAATATAAATTATAATTTTTCTAATGAATATTATTTTATTTTTTTTCTTTTTTTGTAATTAATTAATCTTTTTGTATTTTAAAAAATTTCTCTTTAAGAAATTTTTTAGAATATATTTTATATTTATATAAAATTTTATATTTAATAAAATAAAATATCAAATAAATCATTTTTAATAATATATATTTTATTATAAAATTAATTTTTTTTTATAGGGTTGAATTTCAAAGCAAATTTTACTCTGGACTAGGATATGGTTTCCAACCATTTTCATTTGAAATTATTTTAGATGCAGCACAATCCACTGCAGAAGATTAAAGTATATTGATTTACAAAACAACGTTCCATTTATTATCAATGAAATTCATGTTCTCCATAAGTATAAAAAACAAAATTATAACATATTATAAACATATAATTATAAACATAAATAATATTGTGATATTATAATATTAATTGATTTTTACTAATCATAAGTTTACTAATCATAAATTAATATTATGTTCAAATAAATTAATTTTCATTTTTATTTACAAAACAAAAATAATTATAATTTTAAAAATAAAAAATATAATATTTTCATTTTATAATTATATTTAAAAATTCAATATATTTATTATAAAAATGGTTTTAAATGGTATAATTTTTAAATAAAATTTGATTATTCAAATGCTTATGGGGAATTCACAAAAAAAATAAAAAATGTAAACTATAAGTGGATCTGAAATATGTAGTAAAAACAACTGTATGTGCATGACATGTATTTAATTATAATTATAATTATACATATACATGTTATAAATGTTAACTTATATTATTTTATTATTACATTCCTATCCATAATAAGCAAATAAATAATAAATAATTTGTATTTATTGAAATGAGTTTTCTAATATATATATAAGAGGAATAAATAATGTTAATATATATATATATATCATACATAATAATCATAAATCATTATTTATATAATCTGTTATCTATTTGTCTATCATAAATTGATAAAAATATTGATAACCTAATAGATTCAAGTATATTGCAAGTTGAATATAACGTAATTTCAAATTTTTCATAAATACTTAAAAAAATTTAACAATATTTAAAAGTATATTTTTAAATTAGATAAATTCGAATTGTAAGCATATAAGTATTTAATTTAATGAAGGAGATATTTCCAAATCTAATCAAATTTGATACCAAATAAATTCAAATCTTTTATTAAAATTATTTATTAAAGTAAAAACAATCAATCTACACAACATTAATTTAACTATATTATTATTTTCAACAATTACTGTTATTTTTATTGTTATTATTATTATTATTAGTTTTGTAAATAATTACTTTTATAATTTTTAATATTTGTAAAATAGCATTGAAAAATTATAGTAGATTTATAATAATAAATATATAATGATTTTATATCAAAATTGTTAATTAGATTGATTTAATAGATAATTAGATAATCTAAAAAAATAATAATAAATAATATTTTTAAAAATTTAAAAAAAGAAATTGATTTGTATTTAAAACATTTATATTGATAGTCACAATAAATAGATATTTTCATAGAAGTAAATATATACTTATATCATATTTTTTTTTTTTGAAGTTTTTAATATCTGAAACATTAATATTCCGCGTTAAATATATTTTAATAAAATCTATATATACTAAAATTCATTTCATAATAGCATAATCAAAATACAAATTATTATTTTATTATAATAGGAATAGATAAAAATTTAGACAAAGAAATATCTATTATCTTATTTGTATAAAAATATATATTTAACGTAATTAATAATAATTAATTAATAATTAATTGATATATAAAATAAATTTTATTTTTATATAAATTTTGTTTATGAATAAAATAAATTTTAATGTAAAAAATTATTACAATTTCATTTTATGGATATTAGCCTGAATTATATATTACACTGAATTACAATGAATGTTGTATTCATATATATATATATATTCACATAATATGATTAATATATTAATATTATTTAATCCATAAATTAATTACATAAATACATTGTGTATAAATATAAAATATTATTATATATTTCATTTAATATAAATAAAATTATGCAAATATTTGATATTATAATATTCTAACATGTATATATTATTAACATACAATTTAAAATCAATTTTATAGTTATATATTTAAAATAGTTCAAAATATATATTTAAAATAGTAAAAAATTCAAAATTTTATTTGGTAATAAAATTTATTCTTTCATATTACGAATATTTCTTTATACTTTAATAAATAAAATTGCTCTTATCTAATTACGTAATCTCCATAAAATAAAAATTCGAAAACAAAATATGTTTTTATCATATTTGATGTTAATTCGTGGATCACATTTTTATTTACAATAATAAGAAGGTAAAATTCAAAGACAAATATTTTTTTTATCATATTTGATTTTCATTGGTTGATCATTATATTTTTGCTTACAATAACTAGATGCCTATCATTGATGTTTCCGTACTCCCACTTCTGTATAAAATAACGCAAGTCTTTTACGTTCAAAGTTGTCCAGTAGTTCTCTTGCTTTGACAGTGTATGGTTATTGTTCGTTGTTTTGTAATCATTTTCATTTTACTCTTTTATAATTTTGTTATTATACTAATATAAATCAAATTATGGCAGAAAAACTACGTATTTGTATTGTTGGATCAGGAAATTGGTAAGTTTTCTTTAAATCTTAATAATAATATCTCTAGTAGCGAAATGCTATCATTGATTTAGTCAGACGCATTTAAATGTTTTCTATTATAATAATTAATTTTCACGTATTTCATACAAAGATCCATTGGAATATTGTATTAATATCATTAAATCCATTCCATTTTTAATAGTTTTATTGATATATATATATATATTTTATATTTTATATTATATATATACATATATATTTTATATTATATATATATATACATATATATTTTCTTAATAAATAAAATATGTAACTGAAATTATTATTTCGTAAAAATTAAAATATCAAATTCGAAAAATTTTAATTTGATCATATTATTCATATTTGAAAAATATTCCTATGAAATTACAATGAAATTATTTTGATATTAATGTATAAATATTAATTTAAAATATTTTTAAATCGATCATTATATTACAAAAATATCTAAATTAATAATTAAACAATATTATTAATAAAAGAAATAGCATAATGTTAAGTACATATTATTTATATAATTTTAATTTGGACTTCATATAATAAAATTTATATTTAATATATTCGACATAAAGTAGAAAAATATTGATGGAAATAATTTGAAAAATATTTCATTGAGAAAATTATATATAATTTCTTAGACATATGTAAAAATATATTATATAGAAATATTATATAATTTTATTTTCCTATAATTTTTTTATTTTAGGGGTTCGACTATCGCTAAGATAATTGGAATAAATGCTATTAATTTTAGTAATTTCGAGGATCGTGTTACAATGTATGTTTATGAAGAAATAGTCAATGGAAAAAAACTAACAGAAATTATTAATGAGACACATGAAAATGTAAAGTATCTTCCAGGACATAAGCTTCCGCCGAATATAGTAAGTATATATATGTATATTGTATATATTATGTGCTTTCTCAAAATAAAAAAATTATTTTTTATGATAAAATCAAATTAATACTATATATACTACTATATACTAAAATAATACTATATATATTTTATCATTTAGTATATTTTGATATATATGTGTATATTCAAAAAATACTTATAACTTTTCTATTATTATATTTTCGAATATTACAAATATTATATAAAATAATAAAATTAAATTTATTAAATGATTAAATAATTATTAAATGATATTAAATTTAGCTATTTAATAAATTATATGTATATATATAAAAAAA